TTGGTGCAACCCTTAAATAAATGACCGTAGATACATAACATTTTGACTGAATGTTTATATTAGCATTTTCTGTACACGATAAAATTTTCAAAATATTATGATTTGATTTGAACTGTTAAGGAACATTTTCATTTTCCATATTTTTTTAGTTTTTTTTCTAAAAATATCAATAAAATTGTATTAGTTGGTTAAAAAGCTTGAAAATCAAATAGAGGGCTATTAGTATATTGTTTCAAAGGCAAATGAAAAATATTAAAAATCTTTAGTCACAATTTTTTTTATAAGCATTTAAAATTCAAAAATTGACAAAATATGGAAAAATCGTGAAAATTAGCAAATTATTTTGAGTTAAGAATTCGTAAATTTTTTTTTTTTAAATCTAAGATTTGAAAATGTAATACAAGATTCCTTATAAGATTATCTACCTTGTACAAAAAAAAAATGTCTATAAGAAAATCAAATTAAATTTTTATGAGCGTTCGAAATTCGTAATATTTAAGTATAAACGAACAATTTCAAAATGTTTTAACTTAATGGATTTTTTTAAATCAACTTAGAAAAGCTAAGTTATTTCAATTGTAAATTAAACTATTTAAGTTCATAAGTTGATTAGAAAATAAACTAACTATAGTTAAGTTGAAAAGTTAAAAAAAAATTAACTTTTTAACTGAACTTTAACTTTTCAACTAGTTAATGCCCACCTTTGGATCAGGTATACAATTGCATAAAATCGAATTATTGAACATTGCCTACCAGGGTGGCTGAGTTGCACTTAGCGCAGCAAGTTACACCCAAAAGGAGTTGAACAATCATAATTGAGTTGCGATTTTTTAAGGGCAACGAGGTGCACGAGTTCAGCTAGTAATATTATATATTAATTCATCTTACATGATATAATAACTAATAACAATATAAATATCCAGACTGTCAAACCGTCTCCACTCAGAATCGTTTTTCTTATACAATGATATTATATCATTGAATTCAAGTTTAATACAATCCATTATACAATGACCCACTTGTAACCTACTAGTTGGTACTAAAACCTACTGTTTTTGGTTAGACATTCATGAAAATTGTCCATTTCATGGCTAACATTAGAAATGTTGATAGAAGATTTCCCACCTTAACAAAAAAAAAGATTTTACCGTAAAGTAACAGTAATTTTTTATGAATGTTTGAATTAAAAATGTTTACGATATTAGATTTTCATCCTTAAATTAACGAAATTTCATCTATCAATTTGTGATATTTTGTTGTAATTCAAATACTAATAACTGTAAACACTTTAAATTCTTACTGAATGTTAAAATAACTATTTTCCATACATCGTAATATATTCGAACAATGTTGAGTCTTTTTTGAGTTATTTATAGTCATAAGTAATTTTTTTTTAATTTTGGAAAATATTTTTAGGTTAGAAATTCATAAAATTTTTCTTTTTATAGTTAAGATTAAAAATTTTAATAGAAGATTCCCAACAAGTTTTTACACCTCTATAAAAAAAGAAATTCAACGGAAAATCGTGCAATTTAAAACCATATTTTATATTTTTATTAATTTTATTTTAATTCATACGTATTCATAAGTATATTCAAAATAATAATCTGATATCGCCGATATCGGTATGTACGCAAGATAATCTTCCGCTTATTGATCTAAAAGTTAAAACCACAAAAAATTATGTGTGCTCCGACCACCTTTACAAAATTTGTAATTATTATTATTTAATAATTGTATTATTATAATAATTGAGATACCAGAAAAATTTACACATCACAGAAATGTAGCTAAATAGCCTATCCAGGACGCCGTGCGATCATACGCAATATTATTGTTTTTGAAAATTCAATACTTATGTGAAAGTGATCCATTTATAGTTGTATCATATTACTTATTTACTGGTTAGTAGGGTCTGGTTTTCATGTAAATGTATATTTTTTTATCTACACTAAGATAACTAACTCCAATATGTCGATGTTTTGTAATACACAAACAGCAGATTCAATGGTTAATTATTTTGTTTTGCTTATTTGAGTAATAAATAATAATTAATATTATATAACATATACTATAGTATGAAAACAGCACTAACTTTATATACGCATATAATTGACACATACAAGTTATGTAAACATTAATACCACAAGTATATTGGTGATTCTTTTGACTCACTTACCAGCAATTTTTGAGAAATACACAAGTGACAATAATAGCTGTAAAATTATACAATACTATTCCTACAGCATGGCCAAAGTATTCACACAAATGACAAATACCAATATATTTTTAAGTATATCATACCAGTAGTGGGAACCTGACCTTTCATTAGCAGCTAGGTAATTGGAAAATATTTTGATTATCACATTGCTTACACCTATTAAGTATTAAATAATTTAAAACAACTATTTATAATTACCTACTTATAGTAACTTTTAATGATCTTAAGTTTTAAACATTAAAATAAAAATATTAGTTAAAAAAGAGGTACCTACCAAATTGAGCATATTAAAAAATATAATTTATAATTTTCAATATTTATAGAACAATTTATGTCACCCAATAAATATATCAATAGGTACATATTTTAAAGTTACAATTAAGAACACAATTAAGTCATTTGATTCAATCCAAATTGCAATGAACCCATATACTAACCATTTACTTTGAATTGGATTGCAGATTGATTAGCAAAGGAGTGATTAATTTTTGCCGAATTCATAATTTATAGGTTAGGTTAGGTTAGGTTAGGTTAGGTTAGTTTATAATAAAAAAATAACACAGTCTATAATATATATATGATTATTATTATTAATTATTTATAATCACAAAGGTAAAAATAGTATGCCATAAACAAAATTCAATTGATTTCTTCAAATAAGAGTCAAAGAAACCAAAAGGCAATATTATAATAAATTATTATGTAATATTATGTTTATTAAGTACGTCTACTCTACACAATATAGATTTTGTTTAGATGAAAAGTAAATAAATATATGTTTTTAGACCAAAATAGTAGGAACTTACTAAACTATTGCTTAATACATTATTGCTAAGACATTATATTCTACCATAATAATAAGTAATAACAATTACACAAGATTTTAACAGTGGCCTATTAACCATTTACAGGTAACACGGACACAGGTAGAATATTTAGTTACTTGTTTAAACTTTAAACCCTGTGAGACAAAGTCTATGTTCAACAATAGATTGAATTAATCTAATTTTAATTAATTTAACTAATTATGACTTTTTTAAGTTTTGTTATTTTTTTGCTTTAGAAATAGTATCTAAACTAAATGAAACACTGTTATTAGCACCAACAATTAATTATTACTTAGTGTAAACAGATGATTTCATAGTACATTTTAACATAGTCACAAGTAATAGTCAAATAAATAAATAATTAAAAAGTACATTGAAACACATTGATGGCCTTAATTATTAATTATTATATCACTAGTCAGTACACAATATTGAACAGTTAAAATTTATTATAATTTGGCTGACTATTGATTTTTGTTGTACAAATATTTTCTTTATAAAAATCATATTATTGAAATTGAATCAGTAAAAAATGAATTAATAATCATTTTTCAAATATTATGTCTGTAAATTTGTCAATATTGTTAAACATGCTTCAACGTTAAAATCCAAAAACATAATTTTGGTATATTTTTATATAAGTAAAATATACACAGAGAATTGTATAGGTTGTAACCTAAAATTTATAAATCACAATTTATATAAAGAGAAATCTGTCTAAAATCAATAGTCATCAAATATTATACTTTACGAATGATGAATAGTTTCCATCATAGTTTGACCGTATCACAATATGAATCACTTCATAATTAAAAAATAATAAAATGAATAATATTATGTACACTGTTAAAATGTTGAAAAATGTGTGCGTAACAAAAATATAGGTAAATATACTAATGAGTAACGAGTGTATTTATTTTTATATCTATGAATTATACATTAAGATTGAATAAATTGATGAATTGAACATTAATATTTTTAAAAACTTTCTTCATATAGAAGTATAATGTTGAAGTTATAAAAACATTATAAAAAAATTAACAAATAATGAAATGTTAATAAATAGTTATTTGGCACTTAAGTTACTAGATGATAGGGATAATAGACAAGTTAAATAGAGCAAGTAGAATAAGTCTTTGTCATTCCTGTTTTAAATTTAACATAATTTACCCGTTAACATAATAACTAATAATAATGTCCAGCATTCACATATTGATGAACACCTACTGATTATACAAATAGCAGGTAGAGATCCAGGATTTAAATTTGGAGTATGCGAGCAAATATTAGTATAATTTGAATGGGCTAAATTTATATTATGCTGTGGTTTCCTAATAGTCCCAACAATAAAATGAAACCAATTGCTATCCCACAATGAATGATATCACTGCATTTTTATACTAAATAGTTAACAAAAATTAATGTAATACAAAATTGAAAATTGTGTTAAAATAATGTACCTAATTATGATTATGGACATTGGGGACCATAAATCATGTTCCCATTATTATATCCATGGCTAACATAATAAAGAATAACAAATTAAGTTAATCTATAACAGGTTATCGTAAGAAAAATTGTAAATGTTTGTTTAAAATAAATTGAAATATTATGCATAAACAGAATTGCATAATAGTGTATATCTATGGGATATATACTAGTATATTATATATATTTTTATTTTAGGAACATCATTTAAATAGATTGTTTTGTTCTTGATTACTATTATAATTAATTTTTAGAGTTTAGCTATTAATTAAGCTTGAAATATTAAATATTTGAGGCATTGGAAACTACTTATCATTGTAATCTGAGAAAGTATTTTAATATAATATAAATTATATATTCTATAAAAAATCAATTAAAAAGCTTCTGTAAAAAATATATATACAATATCCATTGATATAATGTATATTATAGCCAAAATATTGAATACTTTACCTCAATCAGTTTTAATGATCTTCATGGACTGTGCTTAATTCTTTGATAGCCATAAGTATGCGTTTTAGGTGACCTACTTTGGTTATACCGATTTCTTTTAAGTCACGTCGCGATAAGTTTAATAACTCTTTGCCCCGAATATCATTATTGGCGAATACTTCCGTGTACTCTCCCAACTGGACTGACTCGAGCCAAATTCCCACCTCCACTGTACTCCAGTTGGATATATCTTGACCAAGTCGTTTAGAAGACGTTACATTAGCTTTCCATAACTTTTGCCAAAACTGTCCTTTACGGCACAACTTGTCCTATGTTAAGTTAACAGAACAGTTTATTATTTAATAATAATATTTAAATATAATTTACAACATTTTCTATAATGTATGAACATTTTTAAAATGTTCAATATATTTTTTTCCGTAGATATAATTTTAGTGATAACTGATAACTGATAAGTGTACACAAGAGAACAATAAATACAAATTAAAAATCAACAACAACATTTTGCAAAATTCTATAAAACAATGCACTGTTACAAATATATTAAATTAAAGTTTTTAACTGACTAATAATTTCAAAATAGGTAATTCTCATGAAGCCTCAGAAGGATAAATTAACTGATTAATTTACGTTATCAGTCATAAATCATAATACATATCAAGTTATTGTATAGTTACTAATTACTAATTAGGTAATTTTATAAAAATCAATAGATTACCGTTTCATAAGCATTGTTGAGGAAATAAACATAACATGATGATAAATCATTATCTCCTTCAGAGTCTTTAGATGATATGAGACATTTTTTAAATTCATTTTCAAGTTTGCTGAATGCCAATGAAAGTTTAACTACAAATTCTCCATCAAAAACCTTAAATAAAAAAAATTTATAAATAATAAATATTATAACATTTATAAGTTAATAATGTTTACAGCAAACTCATTTTGTTTACTAACATTTCCTGCATTTCTGATCATAGTTAGTGTCTCTTCATGTAAACGCTTTGTGCTTAATACAATATCAGTTGCTACTGATCGCAATTCCTTCTAAAATAAAATAGAAAATCAATACAACATTAAATATAGAAATATAAAAAATTTATTGAGTAAAATACTAAAACCATTATAACTTACTTCCTTCATTTCGTGTTCAATAATACTGATTTTTTTAACATTATCATTAGTAGAATCAGTTAATTTTTTCAAATCATCTCCTTTAAATAATTTTTGTTTCAGTAATATTTCTCTGATCAGTCTAAAAATAATAATCATAATCATTTAAAAATGGCATTCATTTAAACATTAAATGTAATTATTACTCAGTTAAGTTATTTGTGGCATCTAAAAATTCTTTTAGAATAGTCCATTCATCGTGGCTTAAAGGAGTAAATCTACATAGTGATTGGCTATGAGTGCGTTTACTCTGGTGTTTAATTTGTTTTTGTTTTTCTTCCCACGATTTTAATGACAGTTCAAGTGCCTTATTTCTGCATAGCATTTTCATTCTATTCTTGTGAATTATACGAATCATTCCCGGAGGCTGTACCCATGCCTCACCGTCTACTTGTATTGGTACCCCTTCATCGCCTGAATTAAAGGTAAAATCAACATCTCTTTATATCTAAGTAAAATAAACTATGCATACCCATAATATTTATTTGAACAGTAGTACATTGGGCAATGCGATGATGTTGTAAGTTTATTAAACGTGATGCAGCCATTTGGATAGTTCCAAACACAGCGACCACTTCTAATATCCTATCATCAATACTAGGAGCTAAAAAGACTCGGTCTTCTTTAGTACCACCCCAAAAATTTGTACCGCCCATGAAACTGAATATTAAACATCAATTAATTGATTTGAATCGAGTCAAAAATAAAACAACTTGACACCTTACCTTGGAATATTAAGTATTACAATTCCTTGCAATGAAGGAAGTGGAATTCTTTGTCCATCACATTCCAGTTGTACTCTTTGATCCAAATTTTTATAAGTTTTCTTATCAAATAGTATAATAATCAAAATTAAAATAACATACTATATATATATTTTTTAAAACAACTTACCTGTAACCACTGTTTGCTTCCTAATACTCCATACCACATGTAGTTTCGAGTCCGTGATCTACATTTTTCTGGATGTTCTTCTCGTTTATGATGAAAATCTAATGAGATCTTAGCATCTATGCCAATACCAAAATAGTTATTCATAATGCATTTTTCAAAAAATCCTTCTCTAAAATAAAAAATAAACTATTATTGTTTTGCTTATAAACGTATGATTATATTTCTTATTTACAACAATGTTTCATCGGGGTCCATCAAAGGTACAGCAGGAGCACATAGAGCATCAGCATTTGCTAATAACACTTGACTTATTAAACTTGATTCTGTTACATCTATTTAATGTATAATGATACATAATATTGATTATTAAATAAAAATGAAGTAACCATTTTAAATATTTTTTTCTTACTAGGCCAAGTAGGTAAAGTAACCAATGGATTGATGATTGGTAAATGTTTATTACGTTTAAGTGATGTATAATTTTGTACTGAGCATGGTGTAGGAGAATGATTTCGATTATTTAATGCTGTGCTACTAGAAATTCTATGTGAAGCTCGCAAAGGTGAAGCATTTAACATGACAGGCGATGCTGCAGAAACTAGAAAATAAAAACAATTATCAGAATTAAATTTTTAGTCCTGTCAAGTGTTTATACTTACGTCTCCGACAACTGTCAAAACTATTTCTTCTACAGTCCAGATGTGATTCTTCCACATCGCACAATTTATTAGGTGAGAAATTCTGGGGAGAAGGTGGATTTATGACCACAGCTGGACCAGTCATTGTTTGACTTCTTTTTAATCCTTTGAAACTATGTAATTCATCATCATCATCATCATCATCATCATCATCCGCTTCAAAAACATCACTTGTTGGTTTAGGATCTTGAAGCAGGAATGAATTATCACCATTTGTACTTATATTACCGTTAGAACCTTGAATTCTGACATTTATTTCATTTTTATCTGTAACTAATTTTGATTCATTTGGTACTTCTAAACCCTTATTGACAGCACATTTTTCTGATTCCTTGGTTATATTTTTAAATCCAAATTCAATGTCAGTTTCCATATCACTATATGTTTTATTAAGATGACGGCATTTAATTGATCTTCGAGCAATATCATTTCCTTCAATAAAATGTGCAATACTACACTTCTTAGAACTATTTTCTACAACTATAAGCTCTTTACGAAAGTCTTCACTTTCTTCATCGTCCGGGGATGAGGATATTAAATTTGATACATCTACATCAGACTCCATACATTCATTTACACCAAAATTCAATTTAGGTCGATGACGTGAAAATTGGCTTTGACAAGCTTGGCGAAAACTGTAACGAGACGAAGAGGCTGGGCATTTATTATCACACATTTTATAACTATCTGGTATTTCATCTGATGCTTCAGATGAATCAATATGACAAATATTTCCTAAAGATTCTTCTTCACTTATTTTAAATGCAGGATATGTTTTTAGTGGTTCACTAATTTGATCTTTGCACTCATTTTTTAATTTATCAGTTTCGTATATTTGACAATAACTATTCAAATCATCATACTGTGAAGTTTGATATGTACTCGTATCTTCTTCAGACATCCTGTTAATACATTATCATATTTATTATTTTTTATTTGATAGAAACAAATTAAAATACATAAAAAAAATTAATTTAACATACACAGCATTTTGATCATCCAAAACTATTTCCTGACGGGAATCGGAAAATTCTACAGGTACCGGTAAAGATTCAATATTTAATTCTGTTGAAGACGATGATTCTCTTCTTAACATTGGTATAGGAGAAATAGATATAGGATTGGCAATAGATGTAGGAGTTAGCTGTTGAAGGTTCAGATTATTATCGATGCTTGGTGATAGCTAAACAGTAAAATAATAATTTATACTATTATATTATTAAACTAAATATAATTAATGCATTATACTTCATGACTATCTTATAGCATACCAGTTCTGACATGGCCAGTGGAGTCACAATAGTAGAAGGAAAAGCTGCCTTGCCAGAATGTTCAATTAATTTTGTAACTGATTTTTCAAGGCTATTAGCTCTTTCAAGTAATTGCTTTTTATAGACCTTTGTAACAAGTTGTGAGTTAAGCATTTAATAAAAAAAAAAAGAAATAAATATCTTACTTTTTTTATGGCTTTACTTTCGGAATCTTTTACATTGTTATTTATTATTTTATTAATATTAATGTGCATGTTTTCTTCATTTAAATCATTATTATGTACTATTTCCTAAATAAAAATGAAAGTTTAAATTTAAAACCCGCAATGGCAAAAAATAAACCATAAATAACTTACATTTTTGGTCTGATATGTTATTTTGAACTCTTCTTTTTGAAGAAGTTTTAAAAGTGTGTCTAATTTATACTTTAAATCTTGGCGCATTTCATTGAATTCAGTATTGTCAATAACATTGTTAATTTCTGATATGCATACAATAAAATCTTTGACAGTACCACATAACACTCTAAAAGTACATAATAAAATTAAAATTAAATAAAATGTTTATATATTAACACAAAATATATACTAACTTGGCTGTGTTAACAATTGTTTCGTGTTCATGAGTTTGCAAAATAATGTTCAAATTAGTCATAATATAATTGTAGTATGTAGATATGGCTGATTCTAAACTAATACCCTCTTGTACCCCAGAATTCATTGTTAGTTTTGTGCCACTACCTACATCAATGCTACGTTCATATACCATTATACTCCATCTAAAATGTGCATACAAAGTGTTGAATAAAACCACATATAATACAACTCAATAGTCATTACTAGAGCGCCAATTTTTATGCAATTGTTTATTATTATTATTTTTCTGTTTTATATTTTTGGATTTTTGTCAGTAATCTTTATAAATTGTAATAGTTTCAACTTTCAACTTTAAAGGTAATGGAAACAATTTTTTTACATATTTCAATATAATATGTGATGATTATTGCATATTTCAACAAAATTTAATATTTATTGCTTATTGAAGTGAAAATAAATTATACACCATTTTCCAAATCTAATAAAGCAATATAATATTTAATTGAATAGAAAATTATAATAACAAATGTTGTAGACTAAGATCCAATTATCTTTTAAAAAACTAATATCAATTACAATTTTATCATTTAAGTTTCTTGTTCATAATCTTGTTGCAACTTTACTATAAAAAAAGTGTTTGATTTGCATTAAGTACCTAATAATTAAGCTATTAAATGTATTTTAAATCATTCTTATTTAATCATTCTTATTCATAATTATCTAATAAACAGTTTAATTTTTAAAATGATTACATACTTATCTTTTAAAAACCAATTTGCATATTTTCACAATTTTTACTACAGTATATTATTTAGAATATTGTGATACTTAAGTGCATACAAATTTGTGCTCTAGTTGTTACTTGTTAGTTGCAAACTATTACCTGTCAAGTATCTTAGTACTGGCTCGTTCGTATTTGTCCATTATTTGTGGCAAATGGGCATCATCGTCACAAGATGCGCCCCAACCTAATACCCTTGCTAAGTCATTACCAGTGCCCAAAGGTAGTACACCAACGTGACACTGCACCTGATATACAAACACATTTAAAACTATAAATATAATTACTCGATAAATAGATATAAAATGTTACCTGCATATTAAGCCTATCAATTTCAGAAAGTACCCAGCCAACAGAACCATCACCACTACATACTAACACTCTGAACGGATTGAAATGTCTAAATAATCTTAACCTAAATAAATAATATAAAAAAAATATATATATAACAAAAGATATTTTATTTTGTTTAATAAATGAAAATGTAAAGATTTGATTACCCAGGTCCAGGGCCGTTACCAATGAGGTCAAATACTTGTGCTGGATTCAATATTTGTTTGAATCGTCTGAGAAATTTTATACCTTGATTGTCACCGGACTTAGAATTGACAAATACTAATAATGGGGAACATCCATGGGGTTGGATTGCTTCTAAGGAATCATCACTAGCTAGGATCATAAAATATTTAGTGTTTAAATATTAGTTTTAAGTTTATACTAAATGAATTACAAATTCTATCTCACCGACAGAATGTATAGCTGTGGGAGGCACAACACTTAATCTATTAGACCCCAATGGGCATTTAATTGTATGCTTAGGGCGGCATGCAGTGTGTACTGTTGCTCTGCACCATAGACATCTCCAGTCTTGGAGCCTGATTGCAATTGAATAAAAATTGAGTTGACATAATAAATACTTTAAAAACAATAAATGATATGTACCTTAAGACAGATCCACATGTTTTATCACAGACAGCGCATTTGGATGAAACAGGTAAATTTCCTTCCATCCATTGGTGTATCATTAAAATATTCTAAGATGTATATATAAATAATTAGATTACAGAACATTTTTTTTAAACTTATTTACAAATTTTTATTTATAAATAAATAACAATACACATTATATACGTTATAATTAATAAGAGTAAAACATATTTAAAATGTTAAATAAATTGTTCTTGGGTCAATTAGTTAAAATAGGTTAAAAAAACCTCAAGCAAAAAAATATTTGTGTCTATAAGCAATCAGTTTTAAATTTCACTCAAATATTGAAATAAATTTAATAATATTGCAAAAAACTGTTACTATTTCTGTTGTAGAATTAAATTAATTTAGAACTTATAATATCAAAGCTTACTCAATTTTAAATGAGGTAAAATTATTAAAAAAATTGTTAAATAGATGGCTACTGATAATTCAATCACTGAACATTAAGATATTATACTTTAAATTAATTTACTTAAAAGAAAATAATCAAGTCACCAAATTAGTAAGTATACCTAATGGTACATTAAATTTATAGTTGTTACTTTCACCTAATAAACATGGTTAATACTTAATAGTTATGCTTTATAAAAGTATTAGTTTTTGATGAAGTATTAAAAATAATAACTATTATATCTATATTGTAGAAATGTAAATAATAATAACCAATATTGTCAAAAATAATACAAATTATTATTACCCCTTGTTTATCTTCAATTATGTCTTTTCCAACGCTAGCCAATGTAGTCCACTTGCAGTTACTGATCGCCTTGTCCACACATCTTTTATGTACTTTACATTTACATACCTCACAACTATATCCATGAGATGTGACACCTAAATATTTGTATGGTAAATATTAATTAATGTATTCTAAGGACAAAAGCAATAAATAATAAGTTTGATATTATATTATTTAAATTACCTGATAGCTGTTCTCGGCAGATATTGCAATATGTTGGACGTGCATGAGATGTAGTATGCCACGAATGATTTCCAGACAGAAAATCATTTAAATCCACACCAATCGGCTAAGCATAAAAGAAGTTTGAAAAATTAAAAACAAAATCTAGGTAGGTAATTTAATAGTTTCAATAATAGTTAATTTAACATCAGTTATTTCAAATTAAAATTTCATAAAAATATTTTAGTGTTCAAAAACTATGTAGGTACATGTTACTCATTTGCTTGATAAATTACTAACGGTATAACTGTTGTTAAAAACTGTCACTGATGTATGTAAGACCTTAGTCTATCGAAATGATTAGGTACCTGATTTAAAATATCTCTGCTGGCTGTGACTTTTAACGCTGCCATCCAGTCTTCCATGGCGTACAATAGGCACAGCTACTCAAAACCACCAAGTATTGAACTTGGTCACCTAAAAAAGTAAAAACAAAAACCGTATTAGCTCAAATAATTATCATTACACCCGTTTCGTCATCAATCGGTTTTATGGTCCGATTAAACAGACATCCAACTAACCGAAATACCGAGCATCCCAATAATGAGTTCTCATATTTTCGTTCGACCGGTATAGGTAAAACGGCATTACTATTCATTATACACCAAAAAATCTCCGTTAAAAAAAAAAAATTACAACAAAATTACGAAAAAAAAAAGTCAACACCTAACTATAAACTAATTTAGAAGACTATGATAATGTTATCACCGTTGTATGATCATCCCAGTTATCATTTTACAATTCTGTTCCACTATCACAGAATTCTGTGTCACTATCACGATTTAAGATAGTAACAAAAACAAATTTACAATTTGAACTTTTTATACATTTTTATCTAAATATCCCCTATTTATAAACTTTTAGAACTTTGACGAATTTTGTCGGCATTTGAACTTCACACGCTTATAAAAAAAAATATTGCCTTTATTTTTTTAAAAATATTTTTATACTTTAAATAGAATAACTTCTGTGAAAGTTTTACTAAATTCAAAAAAAAAAAACGGTTCATTTAAAATATCTATTGGTAAATAGGTACTTCATAACTCAAAAAGTGCACAAATATTTTGAAAATTATACCATGAATAGAAAATGCTAATATAAACATTTGGTAGGTATAAATTGCAAGTACCTACCTATCTATGGTTAGGTAATGGTTATTTGTTTTTGTATTACAGGCTTACACAAAATAACAAAATCGACCTCAGTTTTCGAGGAATAGAAATTATACAAAAGTGAAGAGACTATGTTGGCTATCTAATGAACGAAGGGTAGTACTGTTTCAGTTAAAGTTGGTGAATTTTTTCATTTTTTGTTTTAACACTGTTTAAAACATCGTTTGAGTCTTAAGCATATAAAAATAATGTCTTAACACATTGAAGATTATAAATAATTATAAAAAGCATGCCTAAATTAATTAATTTTATTAATCGATTTTATAAAAATTGTGTTTTAAACAGTAGCTGGTATATTTAAAATAACTTTATTTAAATTTAATATGTAAATATATAATTTACTTATATATCTATATGCCGTGTACTAGTAGGTATATGCTTCACTGTTTATTTATTAATTATTTTAAATCATAAAAATTTTGAAATATTTTATAAATGAATGTTTTATGTGGACATTGTATTATGATTATATTAACTATTAAGTAAAAACAATTTAAAATTGGTAATTTAATCAATAAAAATAAGGATGGTAATAGATATAATTATTTAATACTTTAACTTTTAAAAAAAAAACATAATATTCACTTGGATTTTTCACTATTTTAAACATAACAACGGTGATTTCAGTTCAGAGCATTTTAATAAGTCATTTTATTTTTAACTTTTCAACCTTTCAAGCCGTGTAAATTGTTTATATATATTACTTACTTATTGTATTTGATTATGCAGATTTAAAATACGTTTTTTATAATAAAAAAAAATAATTTAGTTATATGGAAGATATAATTTATTATTTAAGAAGTCAAATTATTTTACTACCTACCTGCTATAGGTACCATACATTATAATTATTATTGTCATCACAAAGGAGTGTATAATATTATTATACGTAATTTATAATGTTTATTAAAATTACCTTAAGAATCTTTTTCGGTTTCGGAGAAATTTAAGACATTCTTTTGCTTTAAAACACTCAGTAATTTTATGCCAAGTTGCTTTTATCAAATTTCTATTGCTGAATTCATCTAAACTCATGTTTCAAATGCATGGATAGTTTTGAATTAATTTTTCCCTATCAGACGTCATTGAAAAGTTAGAAAAACTTAAATTTTAACTTTTATATCTGAATTACTTAATAGGTACTTTAAAATTTAAATAAAACAATACTATTTTCATAATTTATTCAAATTAAAAAACAATAGGTATACACAAAAAATGTTTTTACAAATCGATGATGTTTTGCACAATGTGATCGTTAAATCGGTTATACTATTATCACAGATCATATTATTATATTATATTGTATTACTGTAATAACTAATACTGTAATGTTTACTAATGTTAATGTAGTTATGTGTGTGTGTCAGTAAAGAAGGGTTTTAGCACCCCCCCCCCCTAAATCTCAAACGTTATTTGCACCTATGATGGTGTTACATAGTGTCATCCAGTATTGAAGGGTAACGAGGGTTAGGTTAGTTTACTAATTTAGAGTATACCCTATAAAGTTAAGAGATATGCAAGTATAGTGGTATACGCACGTGTACCTTCAAAATGAATCAAAGACAAAAGTAAAATAAAATATTAATTAGTTTCAAAAAAAAATATTTTTATAACTATCTTCGACTAATTAGTTTGTTCGATTGGTGGAAAATTATCATCAGGTGTTTGGTGTCGGTTAGATATGGTGAATAATATCGAGAAAAAAAATTACTTCACAGGAATAATTACTTAAAAAATGAAGTAAAAAAATTACTTCACAGGCCTTGAATTCTGTAGAATTGTTGGATTTTGATATATATTATTTTATCTGAACGAAGAAGACTTTCTACAGGCCGCATTGAAATTTGATTTTTTATTTTATTTCAAATAATCGTATAATATGACACTGTCGTGGTATTTATATTATTATATTAGAATATTGGTTATTAAGTACCAAACTACCACTTACCAGTTACCAGTGATAATTATGTACTATACCATGGGATCACTCAATTTTAGTTGATCAAATAATTGGTTGTTGACAATAATAATATTTAAATGTATACATATTGTACCTACCTACAGGCTACAACATAGTCTATTTAAAATAACACGGAACAGCTGAATAATTTATCGCTTATAAATTATAACTTGTCCTGAATTTGTATTAATAATTTTATGATTTAGGTTCGTTTGTTATACATAATAATATTATATTATTTAAGTGTTTTATCAATTTTACCGAAGAATAATTAACGTATTATCGTACGAAGCTTCTGAAGTTCGTCGCAATGACGACGATAAGTCTAACACGGCACTGTCGAGGAGGAGCCTAGCTCCCCGTCAAAAAAAAAACACAGTACATAATATTTCAAAAATACATAGAAATATGTTGATACCTACGAGTATGTATTTAATTTGCAAATAAAAATAATAATTAAACATTTTTCTTTTAATATTTATATAGGTAAATCGTACATAGCTGGATGTATTATGGATATAATATTATTTTTACTAGGGCTGTGAATTTGAAGAAAAATGAATTCATTTTAGCTTACTTTAAAATAATAGCCTCGACACAAAGTTTGAAATAGGTAGTAATGAATACAAATTTGAAACTTATATATTACAATTTTTTGGAATTTATTGTTATTCGGTATTTTTTTTTATCGATTTAGGTTGTATTTTCATTTTATTACTTTTTTCGATTTTTTTTAAATTTTCATAAATTAAAACTTTTTACACACATTTTATAAATTATGTATTGTTATATATTTAATTGTTGCCTTATTTTACCCGTTCTGTATTATGCAGTATACACATCGTTTTAAATAAATAACATATTTAATTTAAATATTTTACACTTGATAGATTGATACATTTTTTAAAATTATGATTCATATGTAATATGTATAGTGTATATTAGGTAAACAACTATTTAGTATAGGTACTATATTGACTATACCTATACTTAATTTTTTGAGATTTTAATGCTTTTATAAGATTTTTAGTGAGTTTTTTCGAGATTTATAGTGTATTTTATACGGCATTTTCAAGATTTTAAGGATTTTAATGCATTGAATTCACAGCCCTAATTATTACTTATTAGGTTTGTATGAATAATGTTTGAATCAAATTTCTACTCCTATATTACGATGTCGGTTGTTTAAAAAATATAAATTATTTATTATCACTTACTGATTAAATTCAGAAAATATAAAAATAGCTATTATTAATAAGGTACAAAACGGCAACTGGACGGAACCCATATATTATAATCATTAATAATATTAGTATTATTATAATTACAGATTCTAAAACTACTTTATTTATACTACATAATCTATTAATAAAATTAAGTCTTAAAAATATATTTGGGTTATTTAGAATACCATTTTAATGGGGTGTGGCCGGTGTGGTAGACCACGGGCTTACTTGGAAAAAATTGAAGCTCTCCAAATTTTTTTTTTATTATTTATTTAGAAAATCTACAATCTGTATAATATTAAACAATAGGCAGAATTGATAACAGATATAACACTACATACATACATATAAAAAAAAACAACATGAAACACAAGATGAGGGAAAACATCCAGCGATGGTACCCTCTAGACCCCAAATTAAAAACTCAATTCTCGCTTATGCGTTACAGTGACGAGTCACGAGTTTATGACATTGTATTTTATTAATAAATTATTAATATTATTGAAACAATATCTATATATAATACAACCGCTTCCCCCCCTTGTCTACACAACTGATAGATGCTATAGAATGCAATCACACGTTGCGATTAATAATATTGTTTTGTATTATAGCCTATAGGTAGGTAATATATTATTAAAATAAATAACAATAATATAATCAATAATCGTGGTAAATGTATATGAAATAATATGTACCATCCGTTCACTGTTGAATATATACGAGCGGCCAATTTGCTTTCTGAGGCTATATAATATACCTACATAATATAATAGTACGCATATTATAATTATTATATATTCATTATTCACCGCAATCATACATGGTGCCCGAGCTCTAGTTTAAATCATGTATACATAATACCTTACACATATCAGAGTTAATTGACCTATTGTAAAATCCAAAGATGAGAATATATAATTATGTTGTAAAGAGTTATTACACTCTTATTCATGATGCATACATACCCGATAATGTAAAAGAATGCGCGTGATACATATTTTTTA